CCATCTTCAACCCTTTTTGCAAAAAGGTACTTTAAAAAAAGAGGTACCTCTCGAACCCCCCCGCTACCTCATCGCTTCCACTGGTGCCTGCCAGGTGCCCAACGTATCATCCCAGTCCAGGATGATCACGCGAGCCTCGCGTCGTGCGACGCCGATCGATGTCTGAAACGGCGCTCAAGGCGGCGCGATGGCGATGTCTCGATGCGCTAAACAGACTTGAATTGAACAGTCTCAAGGGGTTTGCCTCCCTTCTATATATGGCTGTGGGGCTGTGGGTCCCATCTGCTGACCTACTTAGAAGGTCGTTTGCTACATGGCGGACTGGTCAGGCTCCAGATTTTGACTCATCCACATCTCTTGCAATCCCACTTCCGTGAGACGGTGGCGCCTCGTGACACGTGGGTGAGCGACAAGGTGAGAGGTTTTCCTCGAAACGGTGCTTTTGGGGACGCTGCTCCAGGTGACATAAATAAGATAGACCTATGCTGAGTATGTGTGACACGATGCATGGCCCAACCAAACATGACACATATATGTGAAATGTGTAAAGAGATGCATATATATATAATAGATATATATATATATATGGTTAATTATGTATATATGTATATATATATATATTTGCAAACACAGTACGGTACGAGTATATATGGGTCTTCATTTCTGAGATCTCGACATCACCGTAGCTGTCACTGTCACAGTCCTGGTGCAGTGCAACAATTCACTTATTTCACAAATAAACCTCGAGGTTGTCTGGTTGGGCTTACTTTTGGTGGGCCTCTCCACGTACAGGTGCATGAATGGTTGATCAATGCTGGATCTCGAGTCAAAATCCGGGTGGATGTCGATCAGCTCGTCCGACCGGCTCGTCCGACCGGCTCGTCCTGGCTTCGGCCGCTGCCATCTGTGGTACTCAGATCCGAGTCAGCGGTTGGACCTCGCCGTGAGGGAGCAGCTGACGAAGACAGCTGACTCGCGAAGTGGTGGAGACACTGTGGAAACTAGATGAACTCATGTGGAAACGAACAAGAAGGAACTCATGGGTTCAGGATGGTTCAGGTCTGAACTCAATCCCCGTCTTGTCCGGTGTCAAACGAGCAGCCAAACATCTTGCATGCACATGAGCGACTTCTTGATTAATTGTCTCATATATGACTAGGACTAGGAGAATTGAGAGATGGTATGACCTACATGGTGTCCATCTTTGGCCAATGACTAAGCCCACAGCACTTTTGTTCTTCTGACAGAGGCTGTCTCGCGCCCTGCCGCTAAATCGTTTGGACAACTGCAGTCTGGCGATCTTCAGCGAGGCCAATGATCTGACAATCCACCACACTCTGCCCGGAAGACATGTCTTTTGTGTTTCGCCTTGGGAAGATATTGCATGCCCAGCAAGGTACCTCAGCTTCGTCAAAGCTATGTGTTCAAGCCGTAACTATGGAAATGGAACTTGTTTCAAACCATAACCGCATATACAATATACTGTCTACAATATGCAACAAACATGGGTGCGTGTACGCATGTGGTCATATATTCATCAAGTATCATCAAGTATACCCTTGCAGGAACGCCAGGGTGCCGGAGGAGGCTTCATTGCTCCTGAGTCAAACGAGGAATCGCTCTGCAGGATGCACAGGATGTATCCAGTTACCTTGCTACATGACCTTTTCACATCTTTTGCAACCTCATGTCACAATGAAGTCATCGTCGGTGCTAGTTCAGTCTAATGAAGTCATCATTGCCAAATTTCCCTTTACTCGGCTGCCCGGCCTGGCTTTGCTCGATCGATCTGCCCTAGGCCTGTGCGAGCTGAAATAGGTTGGAGGATGGACTCACCGGATAGAAGTAGATAAATTATTTATATTCAAATATATATATACCCATATTATCAAACCCATATCTGTATAAATATATTACTGTATATATTTCAAACCACCCCCCAAACCACCCCCCTTCCCAAAATAGACCTTTGAGCCAACGAAAGGCCTTTTAGAAATAAACCAGCAAAAACCTTATAAGGGTTATTCCGGCTTGGCTACTGACTGAGCATTGATCTGGCAAATCACAGTGGATAAACCCTTGAAGAAGGGTTGTTCTTCAGGTTTCCTGCCTGACTGAGTCACTGTGCATTGCAGGGTTTCCTTTACAAGGAGTCACCTTGAAACAAAATGTCGTCATGACATGAGTTGTGCACAATATGTCAACTTAGTGGATCTTAGGATTGAGAGAAGATTCGATTCAGATGAAAATAGCATTGCTCCTGGGAAAACCTAGAAGCTCCCATAATCCATTTCTAGAAACTCACACCGAAAGGTTTGGGATGTGGACGCACCAGTTTATTTCCCAGAAAGGCATACTTACATACCGTATTTTTGGTATATCTTTTCGAATGCGTAATTAGTTTTTGTTAACTGTTCAACCCCTCTTCGAAATCTGAAAAAAGAAAGTACTGTTATTTGAAAAATAAACATATTGATTTAGGTGTCTACATTATTGAAGAATCGTGCTGCTATGTCCTGATCTGAAAGTGCGGCGTCACAGCATTGCCAACTAATGAACTACATTGAAAGTTCCTCATCTTCTCAGGACCGATGATTAATTCAACACTATTTAGGACAATGTCTTATGTTTATATAAGTTGAAATTCTGCTTTCAAGACACAGAACCCCACCAAAGCCTAATTCAGTGCTTTTTGGATCTAATTCAATGTTATTTTCTGAAATCACTAATTTCCAGTTATTCACGTGTATCAAGACCTATTAGTCTTTGTTTCCAGGTTATTTTTGGCAACAGTGGTTATTTCATGTTATTTCAGTGTAGTATTGGGAAGGGGGGGTGGCCGGGGGGGTGGTTATGAATTTATGAATACAATATGGTTGATCAAAATGATTTCATGATGGCACTGCTACGCTTTCAATGTATTAAAGGGTGAAGCCATGGTGTTTCACCAGTTTCAAAGCCACAGAACCATGCAATCAAGTATATATACTCATCTGTCTCATCTGTGGTTGACTCATCTGGTCAACCAATCCTTGCAGAACCTGGGAATCTGCGTCGTTTTTGGCCAACAAATGATCTTTGTGTCACATTGGGGCGCCTTCGTGACATCTCAGGGAGCCTCATTCCGACAGGAAATATCAGATCAGCATAGATCAGCAAACAGTTCACAAGGGTGTGTAGCTCAAATAGGGAGACCTCTCAGGCAACGAAGAAGTGAAATCCATTCAAACACACTTTATATGAGTCTTCAGCCGATTTCGTTTGGCTTCGCTGAGGTCTAGGACAAGGGATCATGCTCCCTCAATGCACCCTCAGAGGCCTTGGTGTTCTGTTGGACCGTCGTGTGTCCCGTCGTGTTGGACCGGGAAAATCTCAGTGAAGGTTCAGCAAATGGATGTGTAGACAAGAAGGATATGGGCCAAGTGAGTTCTAGAAGCATCACTTAGCCTCCCACGCCCATGTCGACCCTTTCGGCTGTGAATTTCCGGCCGGACTGAACGCAAGCCAAACTCTCTGCGTGCCGCGAAAGAAAGCTGACGTCTCGTTGCACCAATACGTCCAAAAATCAGCAGTTTTCAAGAAGCAGCCACTCTTGCTGTAGATCATGAATAAAGGCTGACGGCTACTTTCATACATCGCTCTGGAGGGGCAAAAGTTGGAACAAAAATGAACAAAACATATCAAGACCTTTCAAGAAGAACATGACCAAGCAACACTCCTTAGTTGGGCGTCCTGTTTTCTCTCGCTGGTCAGGTCGTCGAACGTCAGGACGTCGAATCTAGAACCCTCACGTCTCGATGTTTCAGGCCGTCTGCCACCTGGTGCCATGGCCTGAACGGAAAGAAAAGCAGAAAAAACAGCTTGTTTTCACGTCAACCCACAGCGATGAAACGATCCACATCTGTTCAAGAACGTGATTTCTCGTTGAAAAAGAGCGAAGGACGTTCCTGCTTTCTGCTCCGTTTCCCAGGCACCGGGCCGTAGAGCATCGCCGGAAGACCTTCCCTTAGGTCCGACATGGGCTGTTGTTTCTTCGGCGAAAGGAGATCACAGAACCGTCCACTAGGTGAGTCCCTACAAGTCCGGTCTGACCCAGTAAAGTCTGTTCTATTTTACCTCCTTGAATAGTGTTTTTGTATGACCAACTCCAGTAAAATGGTGTCAATTGACCTGTAGGGAGTTGTTGTTGCTCTCACTCTCCCGGAAAAAAAAAAGGCAAACATAAAAACATAAATTGTACCAGCATAGACCCCAAACAGCTTAGTCGGCAAGAATCGTTGTTGTGGTGGTGGGCGGCCGCAGCCTTCGACAGCGACGTAAACAGCAGGACAACAGAAAGACCAAAGGAGGACATGAGGAGGACAACAGAGGACAAAAGGATGAGGGAAGGAAAACCTGGCAGCCACAGCCAATGAACACCTGAAGAAGGACAACAAGAAGGCAATAGAAGAACATGCGGAGGACAGGACCGAAAAAAAATGCAACATGAGGAGAAAAGGAGGACACCCGGACGGGGCTTTCCGCGGCCTGACACTGTGGCCAGTGCAAGAGGAAAAGCAAAAGAAGAGGACATCGGCTTCTGGGGAAGGAGCATGAAGCTGCTAGGGCTAGGGGCTTCTTTTCATTAAAATTGTGCTTTTCTTTACATCGGCTTCTGGGGTAGCTTTCTGGAGTTGTCTTTCAAGAGGAGGACAAGAGGAGAACACCGGGTTGGCCAGCGCGGCCAGAGGACAACAGCAGGACAATATCAGGACAAAAGGAGGAGTCCAGACTGTGTGGCCAGCTCTTTTTTTTCCTAAGAGAGAACCCCAACAGGAAACTGTTTGGGGAAAAACGATATATATATATATATACATATTATATTTCAATTGTCCAATGGTGCAAAATCACCGAAAACATCCCAAAACACAACAACAGGCCGGCAGAAAGAAACGTGCAGGAAAAAAGGCCGGGCCGGTTTGAGGGTCATACTTTTGATGTGCCAACTAAATGCAATTCTGCGCAGCGCAGCGCCACCCCTTCGGGTCCATTTTCATTCCCCGTTCTTCGCCGATGTTCATACCGACTCTTCGTCGTGGACGGCACCTTTTGAAACGGAGTGAAACAGGACTACTACTTGGTGCAAAAAAAGGGCTTCAGACCCTTATTTGATAAGCTCAGGCTGATTGTAGAACACGCTGTGGCATGAACCAGCACCGCATCACCAGAATAAATATGATCAAAAGCAGAATTAGGAGGTCGAGACATGCATGGAGTCGTAACTGGCCGAAGACCTTCAAATTTCTCACCATCACGACATTACAGGGGCAGGGAAGTCCACCTGTGAGGAGATACTGGGGTGTCCTGCTGGAGTCCACATTGTGAAGGGTTTGATCCAAATTCCGCAGCTGTCGAACAATGGCTTGGCCAAGACCACCGCTGTCTTGAAAGAGATCCAGCACTTCCTTGAAGGCCCGAGGAGCTGGTTGCAGTGAGGTGTTTTGGGCGAGCAACTGGCATGTCTCCTCCACTTCTTCCTCCTTTGGTCGGCAATAGTGAAGAAATCCGCTCGTCTTGTTGATCGTGTCATCCTCGAGGCCAATGGTGTCTTGGACGCATTCCTGCCAGAGGGTCCAGAGCTCGGGGTTCGTCCAGACCTTTTCACGAGTCTTGGTGACCGCGTCGCCTTGTCGTTCAGCCACAGCCAACCATTCATATTGGTGATAGCAAGACATGATGTACAACCTAGGCAAGCTTATCAGCAACAGTACCAGGAAGGCTCCATGGCAGACTCGCTTACTCCATCGATGGTTGAGACAGCGATAGTGCTCACCTGTGTTTACGGGTTCTCTCATAGCTTTCAAATCTTGATCGTAGAGCTCAGAGCGTTGCAATTTGAAGCTGGCATAGTTTGACTGGCGAGCCACTAAATTCAGGCTGGCAACTCTAGGGCTGCCACACCACAAGGGAGATACCCCTCCACATCCACTTTCTGTATCCACAGGAGCATCTTCCGTAATCGTGAGTGATTGATATTGATCTTTCAAACCGCTGTCAAGTTCCTGGACCTCAAAGCAAATCCACGGATGTGTTCGCTGCCCTGCGGCCGCGTCCACCGAGTGCATGGCAATTCTCCAGGTCTTTCGGCTGTCCTCGTTGCGGTGCGCGAGCTCGAACAGGACCTTCGGCCGCAAATAGACCTCGCAAAGCTTCGTGGGGGACAAGAAGTGTAAGCGCCATATCGCGATATGCACCGGGTGCTCAAAGAAGCTGTGACGCACCTTGCACAACATACTGTCTGCCTTAGATCGGAGGAGAAAAGAGACTTCGACAAAAAGCGTGTGTAAGTCTCTATCTATCTGTCTATGTATCCTATCTATCTAATATACCTGTCTGTCTATCTATCTATCTAACCTTTCTATCCTATCTATCTATCTATCTATCTATCATTCTATTCTATTCTATTCTATTCTATTCTATTCTATCCTATCTATCTATCTATCTTTCTATCCTTTCTATCCTTTCTATCTATGTATCTATCTATTTATCCTATCTATCCTATCTATCCTTTCTATCCTTTCTATCTTTCTATCTATCTATCTTTCTTTCTTTCCTATCTATCTATCTATCTATCTATCGATCTAATCCTATGAACCTATCTATCTATCTATCATTTCTATATATCTATCTATTTATCCTATTTATCCTATCTTTCTATATCTATCCGTTCTATCAATCTATCTATTTATCCTATCTGAATCTGTCTATCTATCTACAGCATCTATCCTATCTGTCTATCTATCTATTTATCCTATCTGTCTATCTATCTATCTGTCCGTTCTATCTATCTAGCTATCTACTGATCTATCTATCGATCGATCGATCTATCCTATCTATCGATCGATCGATCTATCTATTTATCCTATCTTTCTATCTATCTATCTATCAATCCATTCTACCTATCTTTCTAACTATCTATCCGTTCTATCTATCTATCCTTTCGATCTACTATCATTATATTTATCCTATCTATCTATCTATCTTATCCTATCTATCTATCTATGAATTATATATTTATCTATCCTTTCTATCTATCTATCTATTCTTCTATCTATCTATCTATCCTATCCTATCTATATATCTATTTATCCTACCTATCTTAGTATAACTATCTATCATTTCTATCTATCTATCCATTTTTCCTATCTACCTTTGTATCTATCTATATATCTATCTATCTATCTATCCTATCTGTATATATATCCATCTATCTATCCTATCTATATCTATCTATCTATCTATCTATCTATCTATCTATCTGTCTGTCTGTCTGTCTGTCTGTCTATCTGTCTATCTGTCTATCTGTCTATCTGTCTATCTGTCTATCTGTCTATCTATCCTATCTATCTATTTATCCTATCTATCTATCTATCTATCTATCTATCTATGTATCCGTTCTATCTATTTATCCTATCTATCTACCTATCCTATCTATCCTATCTGTTCTATCTATTCTTTCTGTTCTATCTATCTATCTATCTATTTATCTATCATTCGGTTCTATCCTACTCCATTCTACTCTATTCTTTCTAATCTATCTATCCTATCTATCCTATCTATCCCATCTATCCTATCTATCCTATCGATCTATCCTATCCATCCATCCATCTTTCCATCCACCCATCTATCTATCTCTCTGTCTATCCTATCCTATCTATCCTATCTATCTATTTTTCCTATCTATCTATCTATCTATTCATTATATATATATATATTATATTTACATATATCACATCTTCGCTGTAAATATGCATGATGCTGAAACGAAAAAACACATCTTCGCGAAAAAACAATGACACTTCGGACCTGTCACAAATTGAATGGCATGGCCATCCGACTCCTCCACAGATGAGCGTTGTTCAGGACTCACCCCACAGTCGATGCTGAAGAAAAAATCACCGTCCTCCCATCAGTCGAAACTGGATTCTGTGTGTCATGGCTCGGGAACAGAAATGGTCGCCCTACTCAACTTGGTCGACTGCGAAACCTGGACTGGGCGCCATTCGCTGGCTGAGTGACCCTCGCCACAGAAAAATGGTGTCGATGTCTATGTCATGTCTATTCGTTTCGGTCCTTTTTGGAGCGGGCAGTGATTTCTCCATACCCGAAGCAAATTGATGTTCTACGAGGCATTTTACAGAAAAGTCTCTCGAATTCGAATGGGATGTTCATGCCCGGTTCTTGATCAAATGCCCAACATGATTGAATCCATCAAATGAGGCGACCAACCTTAGGCAACAACACAAATGTGGAAAGTAAGTCCATGAAATGACACGATCAAATCATGTGGTGCACAATTCTGGAATTTGACCTTCTTTAAAATGAAATTGCAATCCAACTGAACTGCATAAGTATAAAGCCAGAAGAGCCTAGGACTATAGAATGACATTCCAGGTAACAGAAGACACGAAGCGGAACGCTTTGGAATTCTTTTGGATTACGTCAATATTTCAATCGGGTATAGTAATGGTAGGAGGATTGATGAGGGGCTTGCAGCTTCTATAAATTGCCTTGTCTGCGGTTGTTGAGAGTTTCATAATAGTTTTATACGTTTTAAGTGTTAAATAGGTTTAAGAGTTGTGACATTCAGAATCAGACTTGCTGGACAAGGCCTTGCTCCTATTCAGTCCTAGTTTTGGTTCTGCAAAATCATGTGGGGACGATCCAGTGCAGCGTTGCTGGCTGGGTCACTTGAAGGTGCCTGAACTCCCCAGGGACACCTGCGTCCAGGTTCTGTTCATGGTGGGAATCTGCTTGCTTGCTACCTGGTATGGTTCTTGGTCTTCCGGCGTGTGTGATGGAGTTTGCGCCTGGTTCCCTTGTTGCACGTATGTCCATGTTCGTTGCGATTCGTGTGGCTCGGCTTTTGACGCGTTTTCTCTCTTCTCTCTTTCCTTCCTCTCAGCTTAGCTACATTTCATTCAATGCTTTGGTTCATTCTGGGATTCGGGTATTCATTCTGAGCCAGTATATCATTGGTGTTTTCTCGATCTTTGCGCGACGTTGCCCAGGGCACAATCCCTGTCCTCCTCCAAGGGTAGGTCTCCGGCCACGACTTTGGAGATCAGCACGACGCGTGGATTCAAACCCAAACAACGTTGAAGAGCATTCTGAAAGGAAAGAACTGAATCTAGAGAGCAGTCCGCTGTCCCATTGCAACCACAGAACCGACTAAGAAGCAAATCAAAGCATTGACAGCAGCCCAAGCATGGAGAACACCAAGTCTTCCAGCCACAGCTGCAGCAGAGTAGTCCAAGGATGGTCTTCATGCCACTGAGCACATCTCCATGGAACTTGTTATCCCCTGCGACGGCCAACAAGATCCGATCTTTGAAAACGATGAAGAGCACCAAAGCCAACACGATGATCAGAATCGGTTGCCAATTGGCACCGATCGCCGGGACTGCATTGTAGAAGAGCCAACCTGCCCAGGAATCCCAGGCCATGGCGACCGGCCGGGACCAGTCTCCAACGTTGGGTCGTCGCCGCTATGCCAAGGGAGCGCCCCCTAGGCTTGGCGTGAAAAAAACTGCGTCAAACAGGGTCTCTTCGACACTCAACACCCCCTGCCCTTTGCCTACTAGCCTACCCAGACCTTTGAATGGGCAAGCGGTCCATCGATCTTTGCAGTGATTCCGGGCCTCTCTCCAAGGCTAGCTAGCGGGCTAGCGGGAAGCGCCATACAGTCTGACATGTCCAAGACATTCCAAGACTCTGTTGCTTTTTATTTCCGGGTGGCGATGTCTCACCAATGTCAGCTTCGCTGTCGACCATCGCTTCGCTGTCCCAAAGCGTTGAAAAACGACGTCACGAGACGCCCGGACACGACTAAGCACCAGTCAGAGCGATCGGGGCTCGATGGAGGAGGCGTCCGTCCACGTTGTGCCTGGCGCGTAGATCGCGGAGATGAAAAGAGATCGGACCTCTACGTATCAATGTCTACCGACTGTAAGCCTCTAATAGGTTGCGGCCTCTGTCAGACTTAGGACTCAGATTGTTTGCGCGCACAGAAGTGAACATGGATGATCAATGGATCTCAGCATTCCTAGGACAGTGGGTGGGATTTCAGGCTGCACTGGGTATCTTTTTCCAGCCACACAGCCTTCCGAGGAATACCTGGTGGCCAAGTTCGGTCTGCCGTAAAAGCTTTAATGTGAGCACCACAAATCAAGCACTCAAAAGACAAATAGATACAAATAGAATGTTTATTGTCCAAACAAGTACTGCTACTCCCACAGTGCTAGGCTAGGGACAAAAATATGCGTTGCTCACCAAAACATGCAATGCCCATGGCATCACCTTCGACAAGCCTGTTGTTGTCGACAGGAATCCAAAACCTCCAAAATTCAAACACTTTTTACTCACATTTGAAACGGGTTGAAACAATCCGATCTTGGGAACAGTCCTCCTTGTTTTGCACTGGCTCAGCTTTCTCACCAAGGTCCAAAGTTTT